ATATTAAAATAGAATAAAATTAAACAAAATTCCAATAAAAATAAAAATAAAATAAAAATTTTAGGTGTTACAACTTGGGCATCCTACAACTAGTCAAAGGTCATCGATCCTGGGGATGAGGCACTTGTTCTTGATCGTGACCCTGTTGAATCCTCTGTAGTCAATACATAACCTTAATATCTTATCCCCTTTCCTTACAAATGTGACTCCAGCACCCCAAGAGAATACACTATGTCGGATGAACCCACTATTCTGCAATTCATTGATCTGTTTCCTTAACTCTTTCATCTCAATACGACTCATGCGGTAAGGGACAATCGATATAGGCTGGGTGCCCTATTGAAGATCTATGGTGAACTCAATTTTTCTATCCACTAGCAGTCTGGGTAGTTCTTAAAGAAACACATCCGATAAGTTTTAGACTACTGGAATCTCTTGAATGCAAATTTTTTTCTTAGGTTTGCTTAATGTAGAGAAAATAACCGAGTTAAAACACTTTGTAATAAGAAAACTGCCATAAAGGAATGATATTTAAAATTTTTATTAACTTATAAATGACTATTCATTAGAAAGGTTGAATACAAGTTTCTTATGAAAATAATCTACGGTGGCATGATATGCCGCTAGCCAGTTCATTCTTAGGATTACATTAAAGTCCTCCGTGTTAATCTCTATCAGATCCATTATGGGTGAAATCGAATCCAGTGGAAAAAGGACCGGATATTGCTGGGGAGGGACTAAGTGACCCTGTGGTGGCACCTGGTTATATGGTGGGGCACCAGATTGTACTGTAGCGGTGCCGAATGATACAGTGGAGGAGCAGGGTTGTATCGAGATGACACTGAATCCTCTTGTTGTAGGAGTTGCTCATACTGTGGCAGTGGTGGAGGATCAGACAGCTCCCTCCTCTCTTCCCTATCCTGCTGGGCAGAGATGAGTCTCTATAACATCTCGAAGAGCTGATCGACATCCTCTCGAAGTGATCTGTCTCGTGTTGCCCTATTTAGTAGGAACCCTCCTCTCCTCATGTCCTTGTACTTATTTTTCGTAAGTAAATGTCTCGTATTTTATATTTTAAGTCTTTATGTAAGGAATGGTTCCGAAGAATGCGGCTCTAATAGCAACTGTAGAGACTCGGAACTTGAATGAAAATAAAGTCATAAATTAAATGCGGAAGCAAAATAATAGAGTTAGGATTTATATTCCTTACACAATAATTTAGAATGCTCAATAGAACTATGGGAATGTTCATTCTAAAAGAACAAACGAAAATAAAAAAAAATAAACGACAAATAAATCACTAAGCATCCTACGATGACCTTAACTAACTTTTGAATGGAGTGCGGGTGATGAACTATTCACAACCCTCTTGTTGATTGGAATCTGGATCTTGATCCTCTTGATCTGAAATAGTTAATGCATGAGTGAGCTACACTAGTCCTGTAAGAATATTACACTAATTACAGATACGAAAAACTAGAGATTGGTAAAAATAAAAAAAAACAACCAATGGAGCCCTTAATTTAATGTAAATTCATTTACTATAAAGAAAACCATTTATTCCATATTTGTGTAATAAGTTTTTCCCAATAATAACTTATGAAAACTCATATTCATGCACTATTATTTATCACAAGAAATTATCATTTTATATTTTTATCCTCTTACCAGTACCACTGGGGGTCCATAAGGATATCATTATACTCGTGAACCTAATATATAATTAAACAATTAACTGGCCGTCCCTATACCCCGTTCGGTAATAGGCACCAAACATTCCACCACCTCGATACTCCGTCTAGTATGAAGGTGAACCATATCTCCCAAACTTTATTGGTAAAGGACTTCCCAGCTACGTCCAACTGAGGTAAGGTTCACGATAGGATTCCCTATGTACTAGGTCCGTCCGCCCTTTTCTGAGTACCCAGTAAGTCTTTCTCGTACAGATTTCTATCAGTATAACAATCAATCATGCAATAACCATATCTCATTTTATACTTACAGTTCACTTAAACAACAATCAAATAACCAATGACCGAAATATCGGCACACAATGTTGGGAAAACAATAACCAAATAACGAAAAAGACCCTAAAAATTATCAATTGAGTTACGCATAGTATAATAGTAACCAAATATAGGCAATACAGGAAAATAAATAGAAAATCGAAACGATCATTAAATAATTAGTTCTGAATTTACTAGTGACCTGTAATTATTTTTAAGATTCTTTAATTTTTCATAAAAACACACAATTATTAATTATAAAGCCTCAATTTACTGTAACAGAGAAAAATGTGAGGTATCTTTCCCTAGATTGGTGTTTCGGTACACCGTGCTATCTACTACGCTTTCTAGTGGGTATCAGATTTTCTGAATTATTCCTACGGAATCTAAAACACTTGTTACGTACCTAAAAATATCTTAGAAATCCAGAATCGGTGTTCAAAGCTGTTCCGACCAATTTCAGATCCAGCATGGCGGCGCTGATCCACTCCCACGGTGGCGGTTTCACGTCAGCGTAGCAGGTTTTGGACAATTTTTTTTTGGCAGTTTTGGCATGTATCAGTACAGAGAAAATATGTCAGGGGCGTTAGTTGACCAGAAAAATCGTAGAAAACTTGAACTCACTGGCGGGGGACTTCTGGGTACGGCGGCTCCGCTGGTTCTCCTTCGCAACTGAGATTCTTTCTTTGGTCAACTTGCACAGAAAAAGAGGGTGAATATAATGGTCAAAACAATTACGTGAAACTGAAATCGAGAAAGAGTTCATCGGAGGAGGTTGCGAGTTTTGCCTGCAACGGCGCCGCCAGGCTTTGCCCGCAATTTTTGGCTCACCCGACGTTCGTTTTACTCCGATATAGCCATAAGGGTGCTCGGAATTGAATTTCAAGTGGGTAAGAGAATTTTTACTTTTTTTGGCAGTCAGAGGTAGCTCCGGTGCAGTGGCGGTCGGAGGTCGACAGTCGGCTCCCTTTTCTGGCGACTTGTTCTTCTTATCTGACGGGAGGCTGGCGGCTAGGGTTCAAGTTTAGTGTGATGCGAAATATTTATACTCACATCGTGTTAATCTGGGTTGTTATCGCGTTTAATCTCCTCCATTCAATCGCGCCTAAGGAGGAAATGAATTTAGATCGTTCATCGCGATTTGATCTTAACTGTCCGATCGCGTTTAAAGAAGAAAAAAGTGTAGACCATTCGTCATGACTTGATCTTGACCATCTGATTGCGTTTAAAGGAGAATCAAATCCAGGTCGTCCACAAGCGCGAGATCGATACTGAGCCGTTTGATCGCGAGACACGCAGATCGCCTGCGTGGCATCCCACGTGGCACCGATGTCAATGTGTCTTACTACGCGGCGTGCTCTAGTTCGTCGGGGTTGCTGATTGGGCAGTCCTACGTGGTAAATTTTTTTTATTTGCACTATGACCTCCAGTTTTCGTTTTTTCTTTCAAAAACACCCATCGAACCCAAATTTTCGTCACTTTTTTCAAAAATTATTTTCAATTTCATCAATAACCTATTTTTTTCTATAGATTCAACAAAAATTAAGTAAATTAATTTAAAAATATTTTTTTTTTATATTTAAAATGTTAAAATTAATTTCGAACTAAAGTCTGAACTCAGGTATTACAACCTAAATAACCATTCGATTACGACAGGCTAAAATCATATCAATTATTTCACCCCCTACTGTATTCTATTTTTTTCGTTGCTTTATATTCAAAAAATTAATTAATCAATAAACGTGCTAACAATGAACTTTTTCTAAATTAATATCTATTGATTTTTCTCGTATTCTTACATCTTTTAAGTTTTAATAGAATACGATAACTTTTTTAGAAAGAAAAAATTAAAGGTACCAAAAATATTATTAATAATTATATTTAATTTAAAACTAAAACTAATATAAGAAGTAAGCGTATTATGGTAAATTTAGAGTCTTTCTTTTCTTAATTTTGTAATATGATAGTCAAAGTTTGAAATTAAATCAATCAAATAAAACATGCGCTGAAATTGAATATTTAGGTTCCGAATTCCACATATATGGACTCAACAAGTAATTATTAGTGTAAGTATAAATTTTATATAGTTTTAATATAGTAACTTGCCTATAAAAAAACATATAAATAATTAAGTTAGGTTGTTTTCCTCCTTTGTACCATTAGATTAAAGTTGTGAGATAACCCATTACTCAAATTCAATTATTTCACAACTACCACATATTTATAGCTTAATTAATAAAACCACTTTTGTTTTCTTGTACAAATATGGGAATGCTTACACTAAAAAAAAAATAAAAAAAAAAAAGAAAACAATATTTATATAGAAAGGCTTGAGAGAATTACTAACCAAATTACTTGGTTTAAAATAATTTGACCGGTTGAATAATATGATAAAATTTTGAATAATGAAATAAGAATAGGATAAATATTTAGAGTATAAGAATGTTATATTATACATCTGTATATTTGTTATAAATTTCAAAAAATCAATATTGTTAGCCTTTAGATGAAATAATCAGATTTGGTTAGAACTTATTTAAAGGAAAATATATATATATATATATGTTTTAATTATTTTTGTCATTTTGTAATTTTTTTTAATTAGTATTAAATTCATTTTAATTAACATAAAAAAAAACTTAACATATTAAATTAACACTAATTTTGTTTTTTGATAATTTTTTTTTTAACTATATTGGTAATCTACTACTTTCTCATCCATCAGATCTGATTTTTCCATTCAAATTTTATTAGTGTTAGTTTTCTGAAATAATTCTAAAAATTTAAGCCTAAAACATAATATTGGATATATTTCGGATATTAAGTTAAAGAGTATTTACGCGTGTGTGTATGTATATATATACTGCAATTTGGTAGTGTTCAGATTGTGGGGGTATTTTGGGCATTAAAAGTCTTTGTGTTAGATCTGGGGTAATGCCATCATCTAGAGAGTCACAGGGATTGAAATGAATCTTCTCAAATGGAGCCAAATGGAGAAAAGATGAAAAGCCTTGTTGCCCAACAACTTCCTTTTCTTCCTCACCTCATTCATCATTAACAAATCGTGTCTTTTTCACCTTTCAACTTTCCTTCTATATATACATATATACATATATATATATGTATCACATGTGGTGGGTATATATATATATATATATATATTTCTGCATATATAAGACTCGTCTGTAAGTGTTTAACTCCTCATAAGCAGGTATAGGGGACCGAAGGTGTGACCCTTTTGCACTCATAAACCATATATAAAAAAAATGGAGCAGAAGACAATCAGCAGCGCAGACGAGAGTAATAAGAGGGTTGAGATGAATGGGGAAAAAGGTATCCTGATTCACAGCCAAGTGATGAAGATCAAGCGAGAATTTGAGAAGATAAAGCATCCATCGCTGCAACAGACGGAGATTAGACGAGTTTTGCTTCCAGATATCAACAGGCAACGTTCCCCTTCTCCTCTGGGGTCTATCTCAGTCGGCAACTGATTTTTGGATCAGTTGTATGCAGTATCTGTGTCTTTTCCGATTCACGTGTTGCATGTATATACATATATCTCTCCTTAGTGTTGTAGATGGAGCTCATCTTCTTGTAATGTTACATTAGAGTTTGGGATTGATTTCTGATTTCTGACTTCATTTATCGCATAATTCAACGAGTTCCAATGAATATTAGTAAGTGTTTGCTTTTCCGCAGTTTTTATCCCACATTGGTAAGAGATGAGAAATTTTTTTCTTTATATATTAGGTTTGAAAAACCAACTTTCGTGTTCGTAGAAAGGAGAGATGGTTGGCATCTCCCCTGACAGGGATGGGAATAGCTTTCGGGCTTTCCTGTTAACACATCCGGTTAAGGCAACCCACTTTCCAAGTGGATCTATAACCCAATTTTTTTTGTTCTTCCGAGCCCCATGGATCTATAACCCAAATTTTTTTGGGCTTTCCTGTTAACACATCCGGTTAAGGAAGCCTTTCCAAGTGGATCTATAATCCAATTTTTTTTGTTCTTCCTAGCCCCATGGATCTATAACCCAATTTTTTTTTTTTATTCCTAGTTCTAAACTAACCATGAAGCTAAAGACAACCCAAAACTGTCGTATTAGACTAACAACATTTTTGTCCGAAATTTTTCGCAGTGCAAATTGTATACCGGAGTACAACAAAAAAATTTGTTCATAAACTCTGCACAATATAATAGTTCCTTGTCACTCTTCGTTTGTTTCTTCTTTTTCTTTTTCACCTTAAGTAAAAATTTTGAAATTGAGGAGCTTCCTAAATCTATGATTAGTTCAATTCTCGTTTCAGCTGCTTTTTGAATGTTATGGCATTTTTTCCTATGATGAACTCACTAAAATTTTATAAGTTATGTCAGAAAATCAATTATAAAACCCATACATGTATAGAAAGAACATCATATCTGGAGGTTACCAACTCAAATGCTTATTAGCCAGTAATAGTTTCAAGGGTAATAGAATTGATGAAAACTATTATTTCAGTTCTCTTAACACCATATTATTACCCAGTACTGATGCAGAGATAACCAGAATAATAAATACACACTTGTCATCGTTACTCGGTCAAATTTTCAAGAGCCTATCAAAATACCATTACTTAAAACCCGTAAAAAGCAATGTAAAAAGAAACAGAAACAAATATTAGAACTAACCCAGTAGTGATGAACTCGCTAAAATTTTATAAGCTATGTTAGAAAACTAATTACAGAACTCATACATGTATAGAGGTTACCAACTCAAATGCTTATTAGCCAGTAATAATTTCAAGGGCAATAGAATTGATGAAAACTGTAATTTTAGTCCTCTAGCACCATATTATTACCCAGTACTGATGCAGAGATAACCAGAATAATAATACACACTTGTCATCATTACTCAGTCAAATTTTCAAGAGCCTACCAAAATACCACTACTTAAAACTCGTAAAAGCAATGTAAAAAGAAACAGAAACAAATGATAGGGTTAACTGCTTTTTGAATGTTATAGCATTTTTCCCATGATGAACTCACTAAAATTTTATAAGCTATGTCAGAAAATCAATTACAGAACCCATACATGTATAGAAAGAACATCATATCCGGAGGTTACCAACTCAAATGCTTATTAGCCAGTAATAATTTCAAGGACAATAGAATTGATGAAAACTGTAATTTCGGTCCTCTAGCACCATATTATTACCCAGTACTGATGCAGAGATAACCAGAATAATAATACACACTTGTCATCATTACTCAGTCAAATTTTCAAGAGCCTACCAAAATACCACTACTTAAAGCCCGTAAAAAGCAATGTAAAAAGAAACAGAAACAAATGATAGGGTTAACTGCTTTTTGAATGTTATGGCATTTTTCCCATGATGAACTCACTAAAATTTTATAAGCTATGTCAGAAAATCAATTACAGAACCTATACATGTATAGAAAGAACATCATATCCGGAGGTTACCAACTCAAATGCTTATTAGCCAGTAATAATTTCAAGCGCAATAGAATTGATGAAAACTGTAATTTCGATCCTCTAGTACCATATTATTACCCAGTACTGATGCAGAGATAACCAGAATAATAATACACACTTGTCATCGTTACTCGGTCAAATTTTTAAGAGCCTACCAAAATACCACTACTTAAAGCCCATAAAAAGCAACTTAAAAAGAAATAGAAACAAATGCTAGAGCTAACTCATGTAATCATAACTATGATCTTTTGAACTTGCAAACAAGCAGTGATCAAGCCTATTCCCCTGCTTTCACAACTATCACTAGCTGCTAGTTGTTTCCTTCGACGATAATAACCTCACCCTCCTTGTGAGATCACTCATTACGTCAATAATGACGGATTTCTTCTGGATTCTGTACTGGATGGCCAATTCAGAGGAAGCTGAAATACCTTGTTTCAATATGGCTTCATCATCCATTATCTTTGTTGGGAAATGTTCCAATGCAATCACGCATAAGGCAATGATTGTCCGGAAGACAGCCACCTCATTTGCAATTCCAAGAGGAGCTTCAGCTGACAAAGATTTAAGGGTGTTTAGATCTTGCTTCTGAACTGATTCCATGTCACTTGTCAGTAGTGCTCTCAGGGCTGCCAATAATCTTCCCTCTACGATTTCAGGGCCTCCTAAGCTTACCTGTGAGGACAGTGCAAAAGAAAATGAAATTTGAGACTTCAGTTCTAGCAATGACTATGGATTTTGTTAAAACAAGTTCAAACTCGGAGGAATTATGAGGAAAATTTATAAGTAGAAATGGAAACCTTGAGGTTTTGAGCTTCCCCAGTCAAATTTAACTGGGAAAGAAGGTCCTGCTGCCATGGTGCTGGTGAAGAAAAGTTGGTTGATGATACTCCAGCAGCCATGCTTGCAGCATCCATAAGAGCTCCATCATATTTGAGTTCAACAAGGTCATAAGCATTTGACGGTATCACAAATCCATAATCCAAAAGGAATAGATCATTGCTCAGACCACCATAATTGAGTAGTAAAGGATCACTGTGCTCAATATCCATTTCTGCCACAACCTAGTTTGCAAAAGAAAGAACATGAAAATGAAAAGTGATTTGAGAAAGTGAAGAGAGATTTGAACCCATTTTCCTTTTTTTATTTTTAAAATTTTGTTCGAAATCTTTCAACTCTAAAAGAGACCCGAAAGACACAAGGAAATAAAAGAATCCACCTTAATCAGCATCTTCGAGTTTCCTGCATCTTGCTCTTGAATAATTCGGGCATTTGGATTGAAGCTATGATTACACATATCAATTAAAGGAAGCATCATAGGTACATCCTCACGGGATCCATCTGGGAGCTTTTTATCATGCAATCGAAATGCTCTGGATGAGACTGCTGACATTGCCCATCCAAGGGAGGACGCATCTACAGCTTGGCCACCAAAAGGGTGATCATCTGATTTAACATTTTCTAGAGAGGATTTGACCTCCCGCTCAAATTCAAGAAGAAAACGACATCGTTTGTTCACCTGTTTTCCAACTAACCAACATTTCAGTAAGGGTGCATAAGCACTTAAGCAGGCCTGCTTAGAAGAAAAGCATAACAGCAAAACACTTGCATCTTTTGTGGCACTTTTGGATAAAATAAACTATAGCAATCAAATTTGCCACAATTACCACAAATAGTAGGACTTTCCAAACTTCTGTATGGCACTCAAAGGTTTTGATTCGACAATCCCCTTTCTTTGACAGACTTCTCAACTTGGGTTAATGATATAGCAGATAAATACTCAATAAGAAGAATGATATACCTGGTAAAGAAAAGGAGCATATTGCAAATTCTTTATATCCTCCCCAGAGAAGAAGATCGGTACACTGTACGTTTCTGGGAGATTACTGATGTATGGCCACCAGAAGGATCCAACCTTTGCTCTTTCTTGTAGAAGCTTCAAACCCAACTTCATTGCCCAAAGTTCCTCTGCCAAATGCTCCCATAGTGTCCAGTTTACTCATATTCAAAACTTTAAACAGCCTAATTTGCAAAACTTTAAGTTACAAATTTATACTGGCAAAGCACGATGCTAAACAGGATAAGAAATCCAGGCCGGAAGATTCAAGATTGATATGACAGTTTTGATATGAGATATGATCCTTAAAATGCAAACAAGAATTCATCAATGCAAGTTATATATATATATATATATATAAAAAGAGGCAATCGCCTAAAGTATACAACAGCCACCACATTGAACTGTAACTAATATGTAGCTTTAAATTCATTGAAACTATAATGAATAACAATAAAACAAGTACATTCATTTGATAAGGAACAATCTTCTATTAAAAATGAAAACCATAAGAAACTGCATACTTTGGCTTGGGATCTTAAAGTACCCACATTTCCCAGATACACCATAAAACTAATAGTGAAGTGACTGATCTGCTCACCATCACCTCACTCCTTAAATTCATACATTCCATAAGCCTATCCATCAAATAGAAACAAATTGCCTATTAAAGAGAAATGAAAGGGGAGGAGAATTACCAGGAATCCGACGAGCCAAATTGGCCAAAATAGAGTCAGCTGGATCATCTCCGCCTTCTGATTGAAACCTCAATGGCACATGATCAGGGATGACTATTAGATCAGAACCTTTGGGGATATGTTGAGAGGCAACTAAGCCGAGTCCGTAGGTGGAGTCATGTGATATTGTCACAGCTCGGTGTACGAATCCACCTTCCCTCTTCACCCACTTGACGAGGTCCGGTGGTTGCGAAACCAGCCGCGCAGGATAAGAAGAAGCGGCACACGTTAGCGGGCGGATTTGTATCAGAGAGGCCACTACTAACTTTGAAGCAACCATAGTCGCTCACTTTTTGCAAGCTCTCCAGTGTCGACCTCTATCACATCTATCGTCGCAGCTGCCCTTCGCCCAGCTGGACCCTGGGCCGGGATAAAGAGACGAGCCCGAGTTTGGTTTTTTTCCGGGTCGGGTCAGAGTAAATATTAGAGACCGTGTTTAATGATTTGGTTATGTATTGTGTCTAATGTGAATACTTAATTAACATCATTCAATTGTAGATTAAAGTTTAAACATGACTTAATTTTCAAATCAAGGTAATATTTTTAGCTTGGAATTAAAAATTGGTGTGTAATTCATTTATATATATTTTATTTAATTACAATGGTGACATTGTTTTTTATATTAAAAAATAATAACAATTGAATTTATATTAAAATTTTAAGTAAAATTAAGGTATATAGTGAATTTACAAGTATGATTACAACCAAACATTCCTCTTCTTTTTCATATATATATATATATATCCTTTCTTTCTCATCAAATAATTTGATGGAGGGTCCTTGTGTGTGGTTGCATAATGTTCTAAACCAAATGGAATCACAATTTTTTTTTATTTAAACCTTACTTTATTCATATATATTGAAAAATATAAAAGTTAAATTGTAAGAATTTGTTTCTACCATCAAAAAATTCAAGATGGGTGCAGTGGTAATTTAAACACAATAAATTATGTTTTAGTTAATTTAAAAGTTAAAACTAAAAATTAGGTATTAATGAATGAGAGTTGAATCAGATGCAACAATAATTTAATTAAGACCAAATTTCAATAAATAACTTGGATTAGCCATATGTTAAATGATCAAATTTGAAATCTTTAGTAGAAGAAAAAGATCTAGGGTAAATCAAGGAAAAGAACTCGGTTGGATAACTTCTTGAAGATGAGTATACATGCATATATAAAACATAAATTTGCAGAAACAGATGAAGTAATTATGTAAAATAATACAAATGAAGCAATGAACAAACATGCGTATGTTATGTACGTATCTGTATAAATAATATATACAGAAGTAACCCCACACTCCAACCTACGAAACAATGTATTCGTATGCGCATTTGATTATGAACAAGATGGATCAAGAACCCTAAAAAACCAGACATTGGATTTTGACTTCTCTTTCTTCTGGCCTCTGGGCATCAACTGCTCATCGCTATATACACCAATTACCATATGGTTCAACCTCTAATAGCCATGACTCCACATCCTGGTATACCAACGAGTAAAAATCCACATCCTTCTGGTTCATATTCAACATATAATTATAATCTTCTGCTTCCCTGTGCTGATCCTCCAAACCCATCAGCTGCTCATAAGTAAATTGCTGTAGTTCTTCTGGGATAATATTGATCACTTGGTTGTCGCAGAATTCGAGTGATGAATCAATGGAGGGATCAAAAGAATTAACTTCATTACTAATGCTCTTAATCTCTAGGAATATTCCATGATCATCATCTTCATCACCCATACAAACATTAACAGACGGGACTTGAACTTGCTCAGGCACGGTAGGGTTTATGGGTGAGGAAGAAGATGATGATCTTCTGCAGGTCCTTTCATTTCCTGTTAGTTGTTGAACGAGAGTCTTGAAGCTAGAGGCGTCAGTGATGTATACTTTTGGCTTCAAGATTTTTATCAAGCTGCTGAGTTGCTTCTTTTCATGGTTCTTGTTGGATGATTTTGATGATGCTTGAGTTGCTTTCTTCCCCATAATTTAGGTGTCCCAACAACTTGGAATTACCCACCGACAAGTTTCTTGATCAATTTAGCGGAGGTTCCCAAGACCTTTGAATATATACACATGTACGTATATATGTATTTTACCATATGAAATGATGTTGAATGTTCGATGAAGTTTTGGATATGTGCTGGTGATTGGTGTGTGAGAAGAAAACAAGTTTAAATTCATATATAAAAATAAAAGTGAAAGATGCCCATTAATGATGTTGATCGCCATCAATTCTATACTATATATATATATATATTACCTTTATATATTTATTACCAGGAAAAACTCTTTACGCACCCACCAATCTCATTAGTCCCCCCCTCTCTCTCTCTCTCTCTCTCTCTCTCTCTCTCTCTCTCTCTAAGTGTGAATAAGTAGAGTAATGAGAGAATTATGCCATGGTTTGGATTAACATGGGGGATGTAGATGTTAATAGTCAATTCAAGAGGATATACATATATATATATATATACATATGGTGGATTTCTGTGCAAAGAAAGTAGATAATATTTACTACATTAATCAGATAATCATATATAATATATCTTTATATATTTTTATAACATAATATAATACATATGTGTGTTATGAGATAGACGGGCATGGAGGGCACGTAGCCTACTATTTGCAGGCAGAAGAATGTCTTCTTCTTGTCTTCCATCACAGTTACATCCATATGGTATGACATGAAGTAATTGACAATTAATAAAGCAATTAAATCATTTCTAATTAATTAATAAACTAAAAAAAAAAGCCAATAGAACTTTGTTTAATTAATTAAAAAAGTAATTTCGGTATGTCATAATTTTTCATATATGATGATCATACCCAACATCAAATCAAGATCTAGAAATTTGGCAGTGAAGGTGAAAGGAACCCAGTTAAGACTAATTACCAATTAATTAATCACAGATATAATTATCTGTACAAGCTTATATAATTTTTATATTAAAAATGGCTGCTTAATGCGATTGTCACTGTAGCGTCTTAAACCATAATGTCTATAATAATAAATATATTTTTTTAAAAAAATTAATATTTCATTCAATCATTTCTTTTGTCACAACCTTCACCTACTTGTGATCTAATGGCATCCCTAATTCTTAAGAAGAAAATTGAGATGGCTGACGTATAAAAAAATTATTTGGAATTCATTACCACAAAATAGATAGATTTTTGAAACACTTATTATTTATATGTTTTGACATAACCATCAGTCTTTAGAAGTTTTGCCTTCGATAATCTTTTTGTTCTCTAATCAATATAAGAATGCATCTATATTTATAGATATATTCACCATTATGACCTGGAAATGTATATTACATGAGCAACCCTGTGGAAAAAAAGTGCAGAAGAAACATGCAGGAAAAACAATGATTTTACAATCTCCAAACAGCTACTAATATCCGAAGACAGTGCACAGAACTCAAGGCTGTTGTTCAAGGGATGCTTCGATTATGAGTATCATGAGAATGGCGATATAAAAACCATTCATAAAAAGAATATCTTTTAATATGTTAAAGAAAGAAGACCTTTTTTTTACGTCAAAACTGGAAGTTGAACTGGCTCAACTGTTGTCTGATTCTGTCAAGTTTTCTCCAAATTTCCAATCGGCATCCTCCTCGAAGTAAGAAAGTTGACCATGGCTAGCCAGCTGTGAGTTCATTAATAGGTATATCTGTGACCAGGGATATCATGCAGAAACATTTTCAATCAATGAGGATCCTAGTCGAAGCATGAGAGGATAGACAGTCGTAAACTCCTTGTCTCCTCTTGCCCTGACCTTTGCTGCGTAATCATCCAAAGTTGCTTTGATTCCTTTCCAGATCTGATCCTCTCCTTGAGAATCAAGCCATAGTGAGTACTGCAAGTGTGTAAGTTTGTTCCTCTGCAACGGTGACTGCAATTCTGTAGGCCCTCGGGAATAAAGATGATGTAGTATGACACTCGGTGGTAGATCCTGAAGAAGAGGAGATGCTCCCAATTGAGATGTTTCCAAGAAAATAAGTGGCCTGAATGCTCGAAGGGCTCGGTAGGGTGCACCAAGTTGTTCTACTGGGAACAAATTCTGGCCCACGGTTAATTCTAGCTCAGCCATGTCCCGAGCCATTCTAAGCTTGCCTGATTCTGAAAGGGGTCTTACTAGGGAAGCATGCCTAATAAAGAATATCAGAACTCGAGAAGCCATTCTCCTAACCAGCCTAGTGCATATAGTTTCTGTTCCTGCTGTCTTAGCATTTGTTGTAGAAGGCAATAATCTAGATAGAAACTCACTACGGAAGTGAAGAATACACTTCTGCAACTCCTCCATGTATGGTGAAGCATTGTTGTCCATGGCAGCATCGATGCCAAGCGTACCAAAGTTCTGGTCATGAATTTGTAAAATGCAAGACTCAAGATGGTCAACCATCGCTTGAAACAGGGATGTTACCGAGTCACAAGCAACCCCATATATTACACCCAAAGAAGGAGACAACACATCTGCAGCAATAGTAGGCAGCCCAGAAATCATAGATGATATGCGTGTATGAACCTCTTGCAGATGCTGACACAATGCAAAGTTCTTGATTTGAGCAGGAGCTGCAGGACCAGTTACTTGGCGTGCTTCAGGACCAGTTGATATCTGCCAGTTCAAGGTAGTCATTTAGTTTCAAGTTAACCCCCAATAAAGTAACACTCAGCATTAATCATTTTAAGAAAAACAAGTGCCGGCCCAAATAATTAAATTGCAGGATCACTTGTCACGTGTCAGGATATAGTCCTTGGCAGTGGTTTCTTTGGATTTAAAGTTATGCTCCACACTAAACCATCAATTAATTGAGTCCAACATAAAGATTGAATGACAAAGGAGAAAAAAATATTTTACATTATATTTTAGGTGTTTACACTACAAACTAAAAAAAATTGTAAAATCATCAGAAAACACACCATCAGCCATGAGAAACAAACGTTCATACCAGGAAATTTATATTCTATAAGACCATACCAGGAACAAATTTTGACAAGGCTTGAGAATTATGAACACTAAAAATGTGAGAGGCTCACCTTAAGTTTTGAACTTTAGATCTATGTCTGAAACATTCAGAAATATGCAACTCACATATGCAAAACAGGCATCCAAAAGATCCAGAAAAACCTAGTTTCTACTTTCCTTTTACTTTAACTTCTAATATTTCATCAATCAGTTGAAATCAGCTTTATTTTCAGCGGTAGTATCTAAAACTAATGACTATAGTTCCTAAGTACAAAAGCTAACTGATCTTTTTGCTTATGAAGATGCTAACCTCTTTTGCTACATTGGTCAGTTTATAGGATGCATATTCATAGAATATAATATGTAACAAAATTCTCAAAATTTTATTTGACTCAAGACATTCTCCAAACATAACTTAGGCTCATGTTCTAACTAAGACAAAAAGGTGCTTCACATCCACATTTCATCCATTCATACAAGTTACAAACTATAAGTAATGTCTCTTCTCAAAAAATACAAACTAATGTAAGTAAAACCAGATGATGGATAGACAGCAAAATCTACATTAAAGAAGAAAAGGAAAAATACCTGGTACTCAGCACGTTGAGCAAGAAGGAGCAAGACCTTGCCTATTTCACGCAAGACAAGAAGAGTTAAACGACCATCCAATTGTACAGCCTCAACCTCTTCCTGAATACGTAAAATTATTTTGGAGATTTGTTCTTTGGAGGGAACGTTTCCACGGCTAGACACAGGGAATACTGTATTAACAAGATCAGACAAGCGACCTAAGCAGAGAGATAAGAAAGCTGTCTGGAATATCTCAATTGTTGCAACCATCTGATCTTTTCGCTGCAAGCTGATAGCTGGTATTACCCCTTTAACATCTGTGTCACGTGAAATTCGTTCAAAAAAATTTTCTATCATAGAGACAAGCTTTGGATAACCCATCGTAAAAATTTCTTTGACAAAACTTGAGGCAGTGAAAGCAGATTTCATTTGGCTAGCAAATGCTTTAACAAGTGCCTCCCATACTCTATCTGTTAACAGGGGATCATCATCCTATGCAAGTAACAGATGATATAAGCAAAAGAAGACACACATAAGCAAACAAGTAGCCATGACAAGCATAATAAGATGAAACAAATTACAGTAACGGAAAAAAAATTCTGAAGTCGAGTTAAAGTCAAAATGATAGTGTTGCTCAAATGTGTTCAGTAGCCTAATAGCTTTCAGACCAAACAATTAGCCTAAAAAACTCAATCGGATAGAACTACTGACTTGAAAACTTATAACTTGTAAGGGAGTTATCAGTTACATATTTAACTAATGTAGGATGAGGAAATTAAAATCTCCTTTATTTAAATCTTGATAGCATAATCAAGACTGCATATCGCACATCTAAAAGATGCTGAATAAGAATAGCAGAGTCTCATCCACTGAAATCCTTGATGTTGTGATCAAAGTTAAAAAGGACAATGACAAGATTGCAAAAGCATGGAGTCATCAGACTAGCAAATACCATTTGATAAACCGAACGCAAACCCAGAACATCATCCGGAAGTGTTTTTTGTACTGTGCAGCAAAACACAATTGTACAAACTTTTGATGTAACAAGGATTCTTCAGCCTATTTAGGATCATGGATTAAATTTAGATATTATTAGAGATCATTAGAAATAAAACCCAGTATTGATTAAGCATCAAAACTAGGGTGAGAATTTGACTGCATCAGACAATCATATGAATCTACTGCAAAAATGCTTTAAATAATTATGTTGGATGATGATTCTCTGATAAAAGAGATTAAATATAGGTTTTTATATGGTACTTTTATTTAATCTTAATATAACCAAGACTAGATATTTTATCTCTCATTCAAAAACCTTCTTGGTGCCTCGTAGAGACAGTCTTGAGAAATAAAATTTTTAATTTTGCTTGTCAGCATGAAGCAGAAAGGCAGAGAGAAGACCATGGAGCCTTCTCATACCAGGAACTTCGTAGTTATCAAAAGGAAATCCTTCAATATTTAGATCGCAGGGAGGAGAGGTGAAGGCCTGAAGGTGAGCGAGAATGCGAGAGGTTTTCGGTCATCAATCACATTCTGGGCAAGGAGGTGGAGTGGTTAATGGGGGCGTTGTAGGATTTCTATCGGCAAAAAGGAGAGTGTTTTTGGATAAGGAGCATGGTCAGAGAGCAACATATTTGGTGGTTAGCCATGAGGAACAACAAGAGGGGAAATTTCTAGTTTTTGCATAGAGGAAGGGGAAAGTGAGAAGGAGGATGTATATCCCCAAAGGTCCTCAAGCAGGTAGCTGATCGAGAATGATCTCTGTGATCTTTGAGGTGACTGAAAGAAAATCCTGAGCCCCAGGTTCTTGTGTCTGAAGTAGCATATGAAAAAGAGATCAGGTGTTTCCCCAATGGTGGTCCAAGTGGTGCAAACGTGCCTGGTTGTCTGGACTAACTACTGCTTGGAGCTGTGTATTAGTCTGGAAAAAGCAGTGGCAAGAAAGTTTGAAGAGGTGGTGGAGGGAGGAGATGAGGGGATTTGGGTAGTGAAGAAAGAACCTGAACCCAACCTGGGTCAAGTTAAATTCAGATTTAAAAAATTTGATATAGGCAAGGTGTAATCGGGCTCCCTTTAAAAGTGGGCTTCAGCTAGCAACCCCAACTTTGTTTCACAGGAGGAAAAGAATTGGCTGAAGAAAACCTGGGTTGAGAAGGGAGAAGTGGATCAAGGGGAGTCAGACTGGCTGTGCTGACTCAGAAACCACTGGACCAGAGAAGCGGACACCCCATTCTCATAACTGGAAAAGGAGAAGGAAGAAAGGGGCACGACATTGGGGAGACAACAGATGATGCAGAGAAGAGATCCGACGAAGGAGATGGCAACAGAGAGGTGAAGAGTGCAATCGACTGGGGAATGAGGATAAAATGGTTGATTGGACACCCTGGATGGAGGTAGTGTTGATGAAGAACAAACCAAGATCCTTGTTGTATCAGTGATGGAGGAGGTTTTGGTGGAGGGGAGTCTGGCCCAAGTGACGTTCTGCGACAGGGATTCCCTGGTGGCCAACCGGAAGGTGGGGATAAATGAGATTGAAAAGGAGGAAGCCGAACACCTTGTTGTGATAGAAGTGGAAAAATCTTTGGCCATGGTGGTGGTTAGGGATCAAGTTACAGATGAGAATCCATCCAGGATAAGAGGAAATGGGTCTGTGATGGAGGACGACAAGGGCTTGCAATTAATAACGTGTGGGGAGATAAAGGAGAGGTGTTTCTGTGGACAAACGCTCAAAATGGGTGATTAATAATATCCAGAAGATATGCAAAATGCTCGAAGTGGGTTTTGAGAGGTTAGAAGCATAAGCTATGGAGTTGTTTAAGGAGATTATCAAATACAAAAAACCTGAAAAGAGTTATCAAGAAAAGACAAAGTGTGGACAAAGAAAGAGAGCTGAAGAGATTATAATCTTCAATTAATTATGAGAACTCCGACAGGAGCATGAAGGGTGGGAATGGGGAAGTGTCATTCTTGGCCTTATGCTAGAGTGTATTATCTCATGGGACATGAGGAGATTAAATGACCATAAAAAGAAATCAGTTATAAGATTGTCGAGATGGAACCAGATTGATTTACATACAGGAGAGAAAAGTGGAATCTTTCTTTGATATCCAACATAGTATTTGGAAAATAAAGGAGGAAGGTTGGAGAGAATTGCCTGCAGGGGCGGCTGGTAAAATCGTGGTGCTTGAAAACGTGAATAGTTTGGACTATAAGGATGTCTACCTGAGCAATGCTCTATCTCTTGCTTGCTTGAATGTAGAAGAAGTGGGTGGCGTTGGGTGTTATGGTAGAGGTGAGGGGACGAAGAGAGTGTTGATTTTGAAGAAAAAAATAATAATTTTATTTCTCACCCTTTATGCTATTATATTTAAAGTATTTATAAGATTCCTAACTTATAGATAAGGAAATTCTTATTTTATTAAAATTCTAGTTATATAACATTATTATTCTCATAGAATTGAGTCGTTTTGAGCTGAGCCGAATAGAGCCAAGCCGTTTTGATCCAAATCAAGTCAAGCTGCTACCTGACAGATAGGATTTCTAACCTACAAATAAAATTTTTTTTATTCTAATAGAATTATAATTATATGAGATTATTATTTTCATAGAATTTTACTTACATGATAATAAACTAATAAAATAATTAAATAATAAAATATGATTACCAATAGAGAGAAAGGTTGTTAAGTCATCTAGAAGAGTATAAGAGAAGATGGGACCATCCATGGGTCATTTGAGATGACATTAACAAGGTTCTCAAGAGACAAGAGTGTTCTTGGGAGCAGTTCTCCATGGTATGTGCTGAGGAATTCCGTGTTATTATGGATAGGCTAGAGCCTATGGACTTATTTCTCTCAGAGGGCAAGTGGACTTAGTTTAGTCAAAGGTCTTGTTCTACTTCTCAAGGAATGATCTTGATCAGGTTTCTGTCCCCTTTCAATCTCAGAAGATAGGTCTAATCCAGTGATCTGCAGCGCACAATCTCAGACCTCTTTACTATTTGTTTGGACTCTGATGGTATCAAATGAGGTCCTTACCCTTTTAGATTTGATAATTAATGGTTGAAGGTACCAGGCTTACAAAATAATAAAAGATTGGTGGGAAGATAGCGACGTGGCTGGTAATGCAAGTTTCAGGGTGGGGAAAAGATCATGGCTATGAAAACAAAAATTAAGCATTGAAGTAAGGAGAATTTCCTTTTTTTTGGTGGGGGGGGGGGAGGGGGAGGTTATGAAGGACCTTGAGAGTCTTGGTTTTGCTGGTGGTAAGGGTCATCTATCCCCTAGAGACAATGAGAGAAGGGAGAAAGTGCATCCAGACTTGGCAAATCAGATTCAAATTGAAGAGATCTCTTGGAGAGACAAAAAACAAGTGCAAAATGAATGGAGGAGGGTGGAAGAATCAATTATATGGAGGAGCTAGAAATAAATAGAGAAGTGGTGAAAGGCAATGATAACTTGAGGGAAGGGGTCAAATCTCATTTCAAGAACATGTACAATGAAGATTTCAATTGGACGCCCACACACTTGACGGCCTTCAAGTTCAATAGCTTGGAGGAGCACATCGGGTGCTGTCAGAAAAGGAATTCTCGAAAGAAGAAATTTTGGAAGGCCTCATGTAATGTAGGGGGGATAAGGCCCCAAGACCTAATGGCTTCAACATGCACTTCCTGCAGAAGTTTTGGTGTGTGATTAAAAGTGAAATAATTGACCTCTTCAAAGAATTTCATGAATTAGGTATCTTCATCAAGAGTTTAAATTCTACTTTTTAGTACTCATCCTGAGATTGAGGGGTCTACCAATATCAAAGACCTTAAGCCAAATAGTTTGGTGGACAGTGTTTAAAAACTTATTGCAAAAGTTCTAGCGAGGAGATTAGCTAAGATGGTGGGGGGGGGGG